TAATGATTGTGGCCTTGGATTTTCCCAACAGATCTCTGTCTAGCAAATTCACAGGGCATCCTGATATGATTTTGAAAGAATGTTTCACTATGGAACCTTTCCCGTGAGAGTCTGAAATACTCAAAGGGGGTGTTTCCCAGGTTTTGGCACATGTCCCAGTGATACCGTCTGAAGATTCACATTCTACTCTTGTCCCCTATTTCTGTTGCTACCTCTTTCTCTAGGATTATAACTACTATGTTGTAACCCCTGGAAATGTGCTTTGTTGGTAAATTTGGAGACCTCAAAACATCCGGTGGCGTCTTTCTCCATTACTTGTTTTTCAAACGTACCTGCATCCATCTCTGTCCAGTTTGAAATAGGCTGTCTTACCAACAGCAAAATTTCAAATCTGTATCGCACCATCAAGGTTTGGATATATATAGTGCCCATTTCTGCAATAACTATATAACTATATCCATCCCAGCTTCTTCCTTCCAAACTTTTGTAAATATTTTCACATACTCTGTCACTGTCTCTTTTGTTCCTTGCTTGCAAATAACAGGAGTTGCTAATGATATCCTACTCTTCCATATTCTCTCCATCTCCATCTCCGCGGTCACCTACTCTCACACCTTTCTCTAAATATCTTCCTTCAGCCATACATGGGTGGCTGCTTGGGTTCCAGGTTCCAGGATCAACTAGAACATATATTGTAGGCACCTTTGTCCAGTCAAACCCTGAGTCCATGTCATATCCCAAAATTCCATCAATTATTCATTTCATGTTCTGCTGTGAACACTGTCTGTCTTGTATGGCTCTCCTCTCCTCCTCCCTTCTCTACCCCTCACTTCTCTACCCCTCCTTTCTCTCTTTCTGTACTATCAGGACTCTGTTTTTCTGCCTGAACTAAGGGAGATTGTGATGGTCTGTCTGCCCACTGAAGGTCTGAGGAGAAAAAAAAAAATCATCCTCTCTTTTAGGCAAAGCTGAATATACTTTTGTATAACTTGTCGGAGCAGACGGTGGGGGGTAAAGAGTAGAGATTTACGTTACTGTGCTCTGGAGTGTAACCAGATGCATATTTGAGCCAGTGAAAACCTGCTGCTTTCAGATATTGTATCTCCTAACAATACCATTATCACATATTCCTTACAAGTTAATCTAGACAATTCAGGATATATTGTCTCTTTTTTTTCCAGCAATATCACTTAACGCTTTACGCAGAAGCTTAAAAATGTTTGTGTAGAGATCTCTCACCCTAGATATACCCTCTTTGATGCAAAAACTGCTGTTAGGCAAAGCAATAAATATTGCAGTGTCAGTATGTCAAGGATCCCAAATGAATATAAACCATAAAATGTTGCGCTACATTCAAACTAATTAAAGTAAATGTGGAATTCAATATCTCAAATAAAATAATAGCAATAATCATAAATATAATAGAAAATGTGCTAGGTGATAACACAAAAATGAGCAAAAACACAAACTTAAATCAATACGCATGTGCAAAATGCACATACATATATTACATCACACGTGCAAATATGTGAAGTGAAATATGTCTAAATAATACACGCAAACTCAAAGTCCAATAATGGAATATTAAAGGTGAAAAAAAGTCCAATAATGGAAAAAGGTGAAAAAAATATTTTGGTAAACTGTGTTTCCAATATGCTGTAAAGTGACCACAGGTGAAAACAAAACGTGCGGGTATCTGGGTGTAGATAGAGCTTGTGAATCCAACCACCTTCTGGACTAGCCTCTCACCTCATCACTTCGACCCTTGCGGGTCAAAGAGCAATATGGATCCCTCTCACAGATCCTCCAGGCACCAAAGCACTCCAAAACCACTTCTCAGGATATAATATTCCCACTCAGCTCTTCTCCAGGTATAGATGAAATGTCACATTCCTCTTACTAAATACCCTGGTCAGTCTATTTTCCACAAAAGGTTCAAGCGCTGCATAAATTGACTGTATATAAGTACTCAGGAACACAGATAAGACCATATGGCCGTATGGTCTTATCTGTGTTCCTGAGTACTTATATACAGTCAATTTATGCAGCGCTTGAACCTTTTGTGGAAAATAGACAGTCCAGGGTATTTAGTAAGAGGAATGTGACATTTCATCTATACCTGGAGAAGAGCTGAGTGGGAATATTATATCCTGAGAAGTGGTTTTGGAGTGCTTTGGTGCCTGGAGGATCTGTGAGAGGGATCCATATTGCTCTTTGACCCGCAAGGGTCGAAGTGATGAGGTGAGAGGCTAGTCCAGAAGGTGGTTGGATTCACAAGCTCTATCTACACCCAGATACCTGCACGTTTTGTTTTCACCTGTGGTCACTTTACAGCATATTGGAAACACAGTTTACCAAAATATTTTTTTCACCTTTTTCCATTATTGGACTTTTTTTCACCTTTAATATTCCATTATTGGACTTTGAGTTTGCGTGTATTATTTAGACATATTTCACTTCACATATTTGCACGTGTGATGTAATATATGTATGTGCATTTTTTATGCACATGCGTATTGATTTAAGTTTGTGTTTTTGCTCATTTTTGTGTTATCACCTAGCACATTTTCTATTATATTTATGATTATTGCTATTATTTTATTTGAGATATTGAATTCCACATTTACTTTAATTAGTTTGAATGTAGCGCAACATTTTATGGTTTATATTCACTTGATCATTGGTATATGATTTAATGTTAGCAGCTGTTTGGGGTTCATTTATTATTTTAATTTGTTTTAATACACATTTGGAGCGCAGGAGGGTCACACCATTATGTCAAGGATCCCGTTGCCATACAGCGGTGCGATGGCTCCCCTCAGGTCACGGTGGTGCGAGTGCGCAGGTGCGGGAGCGTGTGGCCGTGCATGCGCAGTAGCGCTGAAAACTTGCGCATGCGCGGTAGCACACACGTCACGTCTGGCTATTTAAACCTGCTGCATAGTAAAAACACTGCCTTCTGGTCTAATACATTCCTGCATTCGTTCCTGATCCTGATATCTGTACTCTGCATTACCCGACCAAGAAAGAACTCCGCCTGCACTGACACCGGCTATCCCTGACCATTCTCCTGCCTGCTCCTCTTGTACTTATCTGCCCACTTGTTACCGATCCGGCCTGCCTGACCCTGCTGTATGATTCTGCCTGCACCTGCACCTGTCCTGCATCCTGTCAGCGACCATACGTATCTACCGCTGCACCCACGGCTCTGAATCTGGCCTACATCCGGACTACCGCCATACTTGTCAGTCACCGCATCCACACACTGGTGCTCGGTCCCAAGACCCGCACCCTGACTTCCGCCACACCTGCCTGCTGCTGCACCTACGTTCCTGCAAACGCACCTGGCTTGTGTCCGGATCTCCTGGGTTCCTAGCTACCTGCTGACAACTGCAAGATCTACACGGCACTCCTGCCCCTCCTGGCTCTACGCCCCTGTTCCCACTTTCAGGGGCTCCGAGCGGGAGTTGTAAGAGGACGCTCTCTCTCTCCACTTCAGACTCCCCAACCAGGTACGTGATAGTCACACTGCACCCTGCTTCCGCTAGCGGTCTCCTCTACCTCAGCTGGGTGTACCTGGGGGCCGTGACCTGGTCCCAGCCTGCTCCAAGTCCATCCCCACCATCAGGGGCCCTGGTGAACAAGCAGACTGGGGAACCCCAAGCTGTGGATCTATAAAGATACCCGCCATAGTCGTGACACAGTACTTATTCTCTGAAGCGGAGAGGCTGTAACCCGACAAAACCTTCTCAACATTTCAGGAGTTTAACACTTAAAAGTACGGACCTTGTAATATCCCTATACTGTAACACAAATTACTACTTAACAGTTTCTTAACATACAGCAAATAAGCACTTATACTTCTAAAATGGCAAAAATAAACGAGGACTCCTGTGAATTCACAATTATACCTGCCTAGGCAATTTTTCCCCAGAGGTTCCAAAACCTCTGAATTCCCTTTGAGGACCCACCTCAAAGACTCTCCGTGAGATCCAACAATCTCAAATGGAAACTTTGGCTACTGTCCCTGGGTCTTAAAGGGGGACAATCCAGGTAAAACTAAGACTGGCTCAGCTTACCTGTCCGTCCACGCCTTTAATCCCATTTCCTGACACCAGATTGCAAGGATTCAACCTATGTCTGTAGCCCTTGTCCTCGTTATTTTCACCCTCAGGCCTGGGAGAAATAAAGCTCTGGACACCGAAGTGTGCAAGCTAAATCTCTGAAAGTTTAATGCATGACAAGAACGGTTATACAGAACTCAGTGGGTGTTGCTTAATCTCAGGATGACCAATGAAACATTCCATTCTTATCAATATAGTTATGTGAAGAACAGAAACTGCAAATAGTTTTGGGATACCATATCAGGTAGTTCCGTTTACAGAAATGAAAGTAGTCTAAGAAAACAAGAGAGAAGTTACAAAACCGAAACTAACTGTTCACACATCTAGAAATGGAGGTATTATACAAAATGGATGCCAGTTAATAAGATGTATTTCCTTACATTCCCTGTCTATGCATATGCTTGGAAAATCTCCTGCGCTCCTGCTCTTTTAGGTTTATAGCCACTTAAATCCCTTTTCTTCCCCATTCTATTGCTCGGTTTTTGAACTTCAGCAAGATGTCTTCACCACGTCTTCATGCCTAAATGCATTGAGTTGCTACCATGTGATTGGCTGATTTGTGTTACCAAGCAATTGAACTGGTGTACCTAATAAAGTGGCCGGTGAGTGGATGTCCTCTTTGTCAGGATGGTTGAATATAGCAAGAGTAGGTACATGAGAACATACCATTCCCAGGCCATAATGGCCAGTAGATAACTATCCATATTACTACATGAAACATTTGTTCATAGGTACAATGGACACCTCAAAAGCCTGTACATCTATAATGAATGAACACATGCTAGCGATAAAATGATCTTGTCTGTCTAACATCATCGCATTTCCTAGATGTAATAAAGTAGTCATGAAGCCTGAAGCAATTTTTTTTTGTTGTGTTTACTTTAAAAGTTTTCTTACAGCATTTTTGACCTCCTTGTTTCTCAGGCTGTAAATATAGGGGTTGAGTGTTGGGTTAACGATACTGTACACTGCACTGATGGCCCGATCGTAGACTGGTGAGTAGATGGAGCCTGGCCGGAAGTACATAAATATAATTGTGCTGTAGAGGAGGATGACCATGGTGAGATGAGATGAACAGGTAGAAAAGGTCCTCCACCTTCCTTGGGATGACTGTAGTGCCAACACTGCTCTAATGATGAGTATGTAGGACCCCAGGATGAAGAGCATCGGCCCAAAGACGAAGATGGAACTTTCAATGAAGTCAGCATTATGCAAAGCTGCTGAAATATCTGTACAGGATAACATCATTGTTACTGGGCCATCACAAAAGAAGTGTTGGATGACCCAACTACAGAACTGCTGAGAAGAAGTGAGTACAATGTAGAAAGTAGAGCGGATAAAAGCTGTGATCCAAGAGAAAGTCACCAGATAGATGCAAGTTCTCATGTTCATAATTATCAGGTACCGCAGAGGGAAACAAATGGCACAATATCGGTCAAAAGCCATGATGGCCAACAGAAAACCATCTGTGCTTCCTGCTGCCAGAAACAGGAAGAACTGGACAAAGCAGTCATTGATGGGCATGTGGGTGTCTCCAGACAACAGGCCATACAAGGTCCTGGGGATGATAATGGAGGTGAAGCATACATCCACAAAGGCAAGGTTCCCCATCAAAATGTACATCGGGGTGTGAAACTGGCGCTGTGACATAATAATAAAAGAGAGGAAGGTGTTTCCAGCAACGCAGAGGATATATGAAACCAAGAAGAAGGAGGCGATTGGAAGAAGAAGTTGAGGCATATCAGAGAACCCCAACAAGACAAAACCAGCAAGAGTCTGATTTTCAGGAGGTTCCATGTGTATATAGACTGGTTATGAATGTGGTTAAATGATGGAGATCACAACAGGGTAAGAAAACATTTGGAAGCATTTATACTGATAAACCATAGGATGCAACACACGATTTACAGAATAACACATAGAACATACGACACATCGTGTAAACAGTCAAGTCACAAATATATCTCTAGATGATCCAGTGAGAAGGGCTATGCTGTTCATGTGGTTCTGTAGATAGCTGTTTCGGTTTTCTGTAAGATTTTCTAAAAATATTGTCTGGGTATGACACTCTGAAACATACAACACACATACAGGTTATAATGCTTGCCTCAGTACAAGGACATCATACTTGTGGGGTCCCTAATGCCATTTTCAAGTCAAACTTAAGACTGAACTTTAGGCAGATAATAAAAGACGCATCTTGAAATAAAACCTTTATATCTGTAAACGTTTATTTATATATTTTTATATTTTCATAGTTACATAGTAACAAGTATAGTTAGTCTGGCTGAAAAAAGACAAAAGTCCATCCAGTTCAACCATAAAAAAAAAGTTATAATCCTACACCCACAGTTGATCCAGAGGAAGGCAAAAAAAACACAGCAAAGCATGATCCACTTTGCTTCTGCAGGGAAAAAAATTGCTTCCTGATCCCCCAAGAGGCAATCGTATATTCCCTGGATCGACTTTACCTATAAATGTTAGTATCCAGTTATATTCTGAGTATCTAGGAAAGAATCCAGGACTTTTTTGAAGCAATCCACTGAGCTGGCCAGAACCAACTCTTGAGGGAGTCTATTCCACATTTTCACAGCTCTCACTGTGAAGAAACCTTTCCGTGTTTGGAGATTAAATCTCTTTTCCTCTAGACGTAAAAAGAGCCCTCTTGTCCTCTGTGAAGATCTCAAGGTGAATAACTCTACACCGAGTTCACTATATGAACCACCGATGTATTTATACCTGGAGATCATATCCCCCTTATGTATTATACATGGTGATCATATCCCCCCTTATGTATTATACATGGTGATCATATCCCCCCTTATGTATTATACATGGAGATCATATCCCCCTTATGTATTATACATGGTGAATGGAGATCATATCCCCCTTATGTATCCCCCCTTATGTATTATACATGGAGATCATATCCCCCCTTATGTATTATACATGGAGATCATATCCCCCCTTATGTATACATCATATCATGGGAGATCATATCCCCCCTTATGTATTATACATGGAGATCATATCCCCCCTTATGTATTATACATGGAGATCATATCCCCCCTTATGTATTATACATGGATGGAGATCATGGATCATATCCCCCTTATGTATTATACATGGAGATCATATCCCCCCCTTATGTATTATACATGGAGATCATATCCCCCCTTATGTATTATACATGGAGATCATATCCCCCCTTATGTATTATACATGGAGATCATATCCCCCTTATGTATTATACATGGAGATCATATCCCCCCTTATGTATTATACATGGAGAGATCATATCCCCCTTATGTATTATACATGGAGATCATATCCCCCCCTTATGTATTATACATGGAGATCATATCCCCCCCTTATGTATTATACATGGAGATCATATCCCCCTTAGATGTATTATACATATCCCCCTTATGTATTATACATGGAGATCATATCCCCCTTATGTATTATACATGGAGATCATATCCCCCCCTTATGTATTATTACACATGGAGATCATATCCCCCCTTATGTATTATACATGGTGATCATATCCCCCCTTATGTATTATACATGGTGATCATATCCCCCCTTATGTATTATACATGGTGATCATATCCCCCCTTATGTATTATACATGGAGATCATATCCCCCCCCTTATGAATTATACATGGAGATCATATCCCCCCCTTATGTATTATACATGGAGATCATATCCCCCTTATGTATGTATGGAGATATATCATGGAGATCATATCCCCCCCTTATGTAATTATACATGGAGATCATATCCCCCTTATGTATTATACTTATGTATTATACATGGAGATCATATCCCCCTTATGAATTATATACATGGAGATTATCCCCCCTTATGAATTATACATGGAGATCATATCCCCCCTTATGAATTATACATGGAGAGATCATATCCCCCTTATGAATTATACATGGAGATATATCCCCCTTATGGATACATGATCATATCCCCCTTATGTATTATGTATATACATGGAGATCATATCCCCCTTATGAATTATACATGGAGATCATATCCCCCTTATGTATTATACATGGAGATCATATCCCCCCTTATGAATTATACACGGAGATCATATCCCCCCTTATGTATTATACATGGAGATCATATCCCCCCTTATGTATTATACATGGAGATCATATCCCCCTTATGTATGTATTATACATGGTGATCATATCCCCCCTTATGTATTATACATGGAGATCATGTATCCCCCCTTATGTATTATACATGGAGATCATATCCCCCCCCTTAATCTCCTCTTGTCAAGAGAGAATAAATTCAGTTCCTCTAATCTTTCCTCATAGCTGAGCTCCTCCATGCCTCTTATCAGTTTGGTTGCCCTTCTCTGTACTTTCTCCAGTTCCCCAATGTTCTTTTTGTGAATTGCTGCCCAAAACTGAACTGCATATTCCAGATGAGGTTTTATTAATGATTTTTACCGGGGGAAATTATATCTCTCTCTCTGAAGTCCAGGGCCGGACTGACAACTCATGGGGCCCCCGAGCAATAGGGGATCATGGGGCCCCTGTGTCCTTGCCCAAACTCAAAAAAGTCTATGAAAAAAGTACCAGGGGCATCTCATGGGGCCCCTTACTGACCCAGGGTTCTCGGGCAGTGCCTGAGTTTCCAAATAGTCAGTCCGCCCCTGGGTATCACTGATGATAAGAAAGGTGAGGAATCAGTCCAGAACTACATGGGAGGGGCTGGTCAATGACATGAAGAGAGCTGGGACCACAGTTTCAAAGGTCACTGTCGGTAGAACACTAAGCCGTCATGGTTTCAAATCATGCATTGCACGGAAGGTTCCCCTGCTCAAGTCATCACATGTCCAGGTCCGTCTGAAGTTTGCCAATGACCATCTGGATGATCTAGAGGAGGCATGGGAGAAAGTCATGTGGTCAGATGAGACCAAAGTAGAACTTTTTGGTCTAAACTTCACTCGTCATGTTTGGAGGAAAAAAAGGATGAGTTGCATCCCAAGAACACCATCCCTACTGTGAAGCATGGGGGTGGTAACATCGTGCTTTGGGGGTGCTTTTCTGCAAAGGGAACAGGACGACTGCACTGTATTAAGGAGAGGATGAATGGGGCCATTTATTGTGAAATTTTGATCAACAACCTCCTTCCCTCAGTCAGAGCATTGAAGATGGGTCATGGCTGTGCCTTCCAACATGACAATGACCCGAAGCACACAGCCAGGATAACCAAGGAGTGGCTCCGTAAGAAGCATATCAAGGTTCTGGAGTGGCCTAGCCAGTCTCCAGACCTAAATCCAATAGAACATCTTTGGAGGGAGCTGAAACTCCATGTTGCTCAGCGACAGCCCCGAAACCTGACAGACCTAGAGGAGATCTGTGTGGAGGAGTGGGACAATATCCCTGTTGCAGTGCAAACCTGGTCAAGAACTACAGGAAACGTCTGACCTCTGTAATTGCAAACAAAGGCTTCTGTACCAAATATTAACACTGATTTTCTCAGGTGTTCAAATACTTATGTTCAGCAGTGCAAGACAAATACATTGTTTAAAAATCATACAATGTGATTTCCTGAATTATTTTTTTAAATTCTGTCTCTCATAGTGGGAATGCCCCTACAATGTGAATTTCAGACCCCTCCATGGTTTCTAAGTGGGAGAACTTGCAAAATCGCAGGGTGTTCAAATACTTCTGTCCCTCACTGTATGTCCTTTTTTCCCCATAAATTAGAGCTTTCTTTCTGTGGTATTTGATCGCCTGTGCGGTTTTACTTTTTTTGTGCTATAAACAAAAAGACCAACAATTTTGAAAGGAAAAACAATATTTTTCATTTTTTTTTGCTATATAACATATCCAGTACAAAAAATTTTAAAAATCTAATTTTGTCATAAATTTAGGCCAAAAATGTATTCTGCTCCATGTCTTTGCTAAAAAAAAATTCCAATACATGTAAATTAATTGGTTTACGTAAAAGTTATAGCATCTACAAATGGCGGTATATATAATGGAATTTTTTTTTTTATACTAGTAATGAGTACGCCCCTATTGAAAAGTAAGATTTTAATCAATATCTCAATGAACACAAGAGAAATTTCCAAAATTTTGACAAAACTGAGTTTTATAGAACATTTGTTTCGCTCATTACATGAAAGTAAGGTTAATAATAGAACTTAGCTTACAAAATATTCAGTTTTACTCAAATTAGTTGATGCAAAAATGAACACAACAAAAATTACTCCATCTAATATTTTGTATCACCTCCATGATTTGTAAGGACAGCACCAAGTCTTCTAGGCATGGAATGAACATATTGGTGACATATTGCAACATCGATCTTTTTCCATTCTTCAAGAACGAACTCTGTTAGAGCCTGGATGCTGGATGGAGAGTGACGCTCAACTTATATACTGCATGTTGAAATGTGTTTTTATTACACAATATATGAAAAAATATTTTAAAAATAAATTTCAAATATACTGTGCATTTACAAATACTATGCATTTACAAATATATGTAAAAATATATGTTAAAATGACTTTTTTATATGTTAAAAAAATTCTGAAGAATATATTTTATAAAATATATATTTTTTTAAAAATATATTTTTTTTTAAAATATATTCTTCAGATTTATTTTTTGTCGATGTCGATTTGTATTTTTTGACATACGGTATATTTGAAATGTATTTTAAAAAATATTTTTTTTCATATATTTTGTAATAAAAATGCATTTCAAAAATGCAGTATATTGTGATATATATATATATATATATATAAAATGTGTGTGTGCATATATATGTATATATAAGTGCATATATATATATGTATGTATATCTATCTATATATATATATATATATATATATATATATATATATATATATGTATATATACGTGCTTATATATATATATATATATATATGTATGTATGTATATATATATATATATATATTGTGCAATATATTTTGAAATATATTGAATACGGCCAAAATTGTACTATTTCAAAATATGTCAATATATTTGGGAAGAATATTTTAAAAATATATTTCAAATATATTTTTCTTCCATATGGGGAAGGGGATTTGTAAGCCCTCGAAATGTGCTGATTTTTTTCTCTACGTTGCTTCTGATCAAAAAATTTATACTGGACTGAACAAATTGGTCTGACGCTTTTATTTTTCCAAACCGTGTTATGTCCAGGAGGGGAAAAATGGTTCATATATAACAGAATAATGGCAATGCTAGTGGTGAAAACCCCCATACTGAAAATTTTA